TCTGGCCGGATGGGAGAATTTGTGGGCCAAGGGGTGCTAACCCTTCTCTATAAAAAAGGGGACAGAACAAACATCAAAAACGACAGACCCATCACGCGGCTCACGGTTACCTACAAACTAATAGCCAAAACCCTGACTAACCACTTGGAATCAATAATGACAAACATCATTCACCCGGACCAGACGGGTTTTATCCAAGGAAGAAACATCCAGGACAACATCCTCCTTGTCAACGAAATGATTAAGCTAACCAGACAGTCCTAAAGCAACGCGGCAATCATCTTCATTGACTTTGAAAAAGCCTACTATCATGTCGACTGGTTCTTCCTCGACAAATGTCTGGAAAAGTTCAATTTTGGACCCGACTTTCGACGTTGGGTTCAAATCCTGCACACAAACGCGGCAACCAGGGTCATGGTGAATAATAACTTGGCTCCCCCCATCGACCTACAGAGATCTGTCACGCAGGGGGACCCGATCGCCCCGTACTTATTCGTAATCGTCATGGAAGCATTGGCAGATAACCTCAGGACCCACAAAGATATTAAAAGGATCAGTGTGTCGGCAATACCCAAAGATGCAATCCCAGTTTGCTCAATGTTCGCCGACGATCTGACTTTAATGGTAGATGCGACCAAAGAATTTATGGAAGGTGTGCAGCGGATGATGGACCGTTTCTGCCTACTATCGGACATGAAAGTAAACTGGGGCAATAAAACCCAAGGCTGGTGGATACACCACCAAGGAGTGAGACCCCCAGAACACCCGAGACTCAAGTGGCTCCCCAGGGAAGCCCCGATAGAGTGTTGGGGATCTCCCTGACAGCAGAGGGCAGGCCATACACCAACCAGGAATGGATCACGGGTCCCCCCTAAGCGAAAATGGCACTATGGAAGGGCAAACACACTTCCTTATGGGGCCGCGCCCTCATCATCAACAATGTGGTGCTGGCCTCAATGTGGTACAAATCGGCGATCTGGGCGCTGGACAAAAAAGCTCTCCGCCCCCTGCAATGCCAAATAGTCGCCTTCCTATGGAGAGGGGATCACGATAGACAAAACGTCATCAGCAGAGTGGGGTGGCACTCAATCACTCAGCCTGAAGCAAAAGGAGGACTCGGGATCATCGACCCGCTCACACAGACAAAGGCGTTGGCCATACAATGGATCAAACGACTTATTTTTAATACGGAATCACCTTGGCAAGGCCTGGCCTTGGAACAAATCTCGAGACTAGCCCCCCCAATGAAGGAAACCGCAGACCCGTTAATGTGGCTTGAAAACAGAGAATGGCCCATACCCAGAGCGACACGTCGGCGGGACTCCCCGCCGGCTACAACAAGACAGACACTCGAGGACGATCTAGTGAATGATCCCTTTTGGCCCAACCTCCTTAACACCTGGAGAAGCCTCCCCCTACCGGACAAAACTCCACCACAGAGACGGGAGGAGGTGTTGTGGCAACCTCTCTTCGGCAACAGGTGGATAACAAACACGAAGGGTCAGACCCTCCACTGCATGGATTCACCATGGCAGGGTTGGGTGAAGCGAGGGATCACAAGGGTACAAGACATATGGGACGCAGCAAACAGGGAGTGGATTGAACCTGGCCGCCTGCGAGAAAAGCTGAGATACTGTCATCACCCTCAAGAAGCCCTGGAAACGCTGACAGAAATGGTCCCTATAGACTGGCTGAAAATCCTGCGTAAGGGACTGACCCTGCAAATAGATGACTGGGTGGTGTGTCCAGAAAACGTGGGGGGAGTAGGCAGGGTCGTCGCCGTACATCCGGAGGGGCCCATAACAGTGAGCTGCTTCCACGTCAGGAAAGGAAACATTCTCCATAGAAGCACTGACGAGGAAACGTTTGTCTTCCCCAAAACCGAACTTTTCCGCATCAGGGTGCTTCAAGAAAACCAGCAATGGATCGCCTTCAGACCATCCACCCCGATCCAGCAACTGCCCCTGGACCCGCTGGAATGGACATGGACAGCTGCAAGATGGAAAGGAAAAAACTACTCCAAATCACTCTATGGGCTGTCCGTCAAATCAACATACAGGCTCCTCAGACCGAGAACCAACCTGGCCGACCAAGTGAAAGAGCGATGGCAAGCTCACCTAAACATCGACCAGGCGGAATTAAGATCAGTCAAATGGTTCAAATTGGCAAAGGAAAAACCCGCCAGGATCGCGTCACTTCAATGGCAGATGGAGCACCGCTGCCTACCAACCAATAACCGGCTTATAGACAGAACAACATTGGAGCAAAGAGAGCTGGCCCTCCCCTGGTGTAAACTCTGCATGAACGCCTTCCCAGCTCGCAAACACCCAGAAACCATAGAGCACATATTCCTCCAATGCCCGGGTGCACTGTGGATGTGGAGATGGTGGGACAGAATATGGAGCCAACTAGGCACAGACAYGACCTGGCCCTGGGATTGGAAAGTGGTGCTCTGKGAAACCTGGCCCGGGGGACTAACAGAACACCTTAACGACTACACCACCAATATGCTCACACTGGGACGMCGAGCGGTCCTTTGGGCACTATGGAGAAGGCGTTGCACKTAYGAGATGGAAGGGGTGAGATTAGAAGGCCCTGAATTCATTGACAGTGTAATACAGCAGATTCAAACAGAGATAACAGCGAAATGGGATAAGGTCAGATCCAACATCCAAACACTCCAATCGCCCAAACACATTAAACAAAAAATACAGGAATTCTGTTCATGCTGGCTGGGAGGACCCGAGGGTGGAGCAATTGGGAAGGTGGAAGGGAAAGGAGAGTTAAGAGAGATAGGTGAGGGGCTACCGGGAGCAATAATAGAGAGAGACAACCGCTTGACATTCAACAACTGGGCCAACTTGGACGCAGGGATCCCGCTCAGACCCCCAGAGGAATTCCCCGACCCCTTCCCCCCCCCCCAACTGCCTTGTAGGGATGCAGTGGTATGGTTTATAAGGTGATGACAGTTGCATGACAGAGAAAGGAGATTCTGAGACTACAAAGCCCAGCAAGGGCTGGCTGAAAGTAAACTGGGGTAGAAGGATGTAAACTCAGATGATGACAGGTGGGGGAACTAGGAAGCGCAGTAGAAATCTGGCGCCAATATACATGGTGAAGAGGTTCCCCCCCTGGCACCCGCATTGCCCAAAGTTATCTACATCAAAACCTGCACAGTCAATCCTCTGGACCCCATAGTAATCAATGCTGGCAGGTTTCGTCTCCCTTCAGTTCACAACCATCAGTCTGTAAATGGGACGCTGGACCCGCTTTCCAGCAGGTGCAGCTCCCCACCAATAGATAGAGCCTCCCCTCCGGGTGCTAGTGGTGCATGCTCTTACCAGCATCACTAGCACTGCGAGGGTGTCTTTGTAAAAAAAAAAAAAAAAAAAAAAAAAAAAAAAAAAGAGAATAATGTTGCTGTATGAAGCCAAGCCGGAAGCCAAGTGGATGTATTTTTTGTCCCATGAATTTTGCATTTTTCGATTTTGATTGTTTTAGTCTTTTAATATAGAAGAAATAAATCTCAAATTATTATTGAATTTTATTTTTTGATTTCATAACAATTGTAATATGACAAGTCGGTTTATATATAGAATATGCTCGTCCTTGAGCTCTAGGTTGAAATCTTTTTATGGTTGTGCCTTCATCCACCTTAGCTTCACTTATAAATAAATCTTTTTTTTGAAGTCCTAGGTTATGATTTGCATTAGATGCAGCTGTTTCGCATTGATTGACTCTGAGCTAATTACGACCATTGAACAAACTTGGTGGACAAACACAATTTATGTGAAGCTGAAGTAGCAGCTGCTTGAGCATTTGACAAACTAACACCATCCATTTCAAAAATAATTTGTCCTTGGGAAACACAAGCAATCCAACCTGTAGGGTTTCCTTTTCCTTTTCCCATCATCACCTCTGTAGGTTTGCTGGTAATAGGAATATCTGAAAAAAGTTCAAAAAACTCTCACCCATATTTTACCATTTCTCCGAAATTTCCTGGTGATGGCACGACGCGCCGCTTCAATTCCTTGATATGATATGCGACCTGCTTCACAACTGTTAAGACCATATTTTCCAAAACAAAGTTGTGCCGCCGCGTGGGAGCCTTTGCTTCTTCCTCTCTGATATTTATGAAATTTTGTACGTTTTGGATATAGCATATTTGTTTTGGTTGATTTTATGAATATGAGACCCACACCTTGACACCTAAGATTCCATAAGGAGTAGATGCTTGTGGTAATATGGCTTTTTGGCTTGGAAGTCTTCCTGTATTTTTGACTTCTTATTATTCTACTCTGATGGCAATCCCTTTAATACTTTTGGCTTTTGGAAGTCTTTTGGGGGATATTTGGCCAACGATATGATGATGGGCTTAGGTACTCATTTTTGGGCAAATTCTATTTTCATACTACCAAAAAACGAAATTATGTTTTCGTCAGAATTTGCCACTCCAAGAATGATGAAACTAATACCCATTTTGTTTAGTGCTATAGGCGCATTTTTGGCGTATTGTGTTAATTTTAGTGCAATCAATTTATATATGTTTTGAAAACTAGTCCACTAGGCACGAAGTGCTATTGTTTTTTGAACAAGCGATGGTTATTTGACAAGGTTTTTAATGATTTCATAACTAAATCATTTTTAGGTTTTGGGTATGAAGTTTCTGTTTGTTTTTTTTCCTTAAGGAAATTTGCTCCGATCTATTCGTGGGGAGCAGCACGTGCTTAAATGACACTTGTAGAAAAGGCAAAAGTGGTACCTCTAGCCAACACAGTACTTGCTCCAGATATAAATTTGATCAGAGACGGAAATTGTTGTGCTTATCAAACATGCCCAAAACAATCCTTATAAGTGTGTGCAAATTCCAAGGGAGCTTCGAGGAGCGGGTTTTTCGAGGGCATAATGCCGAGCGACAGTCGGATCAGAGAAACACATACTTCAGAAGCCATCTCAGAAACAGATTTTGATCTCACCTTTGTGTGTTTGTGCTGCTGCAGCTCTAGTGGGGGAGAGGGCGAAGGCAGTGCCCTCCGTGGCCGCTATGACACCACACGGTTTCTTTCTGGCGGACAGGAACCGAATGGAGACAGCCAGCTTGCGAGAGCAAATGGCCCTGGAGGCAGAGGCCCATCCCTTCGAGGACGGGGAAGGGGCAAGGGAGTTCTAAGAGGCCCGGAAAGGCCCGGCTTCAACAGGACTCCAAGGAAGGTGATCGGGTATATCCCAAATTCCTTTCACCTAATGCGTGGATGAATGATCGGAAAAAAAAAAGAACAGAAAAAAGGATGAATGATCCACATCGTTAATAACTTGCAAGTTACAACTAGAATGGAAGGGGCAGGTCCCACTGGACTGTGTCTATGACTCTAAGTCTCTATGTATTTGTGGGGGGAATCTGTTGGTCATAACTGGATGGAAAAAATCAACCCCTGATATCAGATTTTGGATTACAAAACCATGACACAGACATGGTCCAAAGGGGTCTTAGCCTAAGGGACAGGCCTTGCCGACCTATGTCTTAGTCTAGGTTTTGAGATCCAATGTATGTTATCCAAAGTTGACTTTTACGATCTCATTTTGACCAGACAATTTCCTAACTAAGTCGGGTAAAGAGTCTAAACTTCTGTAAAGACCTAATTATAGCATACATAGTGGGGCCTGCTGCCTTAATTCTCTACCTGTTTACCTGTCATGTGTTCCTTGTCGGTCGTTTGGAGTTGAAATACCCAGAAATGGGGAAGGATTCAAAATTGGGTGAAGTTCACAAGGCATCAAGGCTCTTGTCTAAGAGGCAGAGTGTAAGGAAACCGTGAAACTGCAAGCTGTGGTAGGTTATAGTGTTTGTTTCAAGCCCCTTGCCCTTTCTTTCTGATCGACGGTGTACCATGAAACTGCACCTTCCAATTGTGCAAAGAAACGAGGGCAAAATCAGCACAGAACAACTCATGGGGTCGTAGCTTTTGTCGGAGTTCACCTTTCAATTGTGCAAAGAAACGGGGGCAAAATCAAAATCAGCACAAAACAACTCGTAGGGTTGCAGCTTTTGACCGAGTCAAAGTTCTGGGTTCAGAAGGGTCCTTCCTACACCATTCCATGGGGTGCCAGAAAGCCGTCAGTTCCGTAGGCCTGTTGGGGTCTAGGGCCTACACCCTTCCATGGGGTGCCAGAAAGTCGTCAGTTCCGTAGGCCTGTTGGAGTCTAGGGTCAGAAGGAGACACCCAGGTTCTCCATAAGCGAAAGGAGGGCAAAGGAGAGTCAACAGCCAGTCCGAACCTGGGCATATAAGTCAAAGAGTCCAAGATTTCTCAGGAGTCAACCATGGTCGCAGATCACACACAATCCAAAGGCTCAGTGCAGTTTGCAGAAGCGTCCAATGCCGCTGGGTCCCGGCACACACTGCCCGCAAGGAAATCTTGGCCGTAAAGATCGGGAACTCAGCCACACAAGGAGGAAGCTGGAGGTAGGCCAGACCGAGTCAGGGCTACAAGTAGTCAACCTGCAGGAGAAATCTTGTGCATTCATTCTGCCTTACATTGCTTTGAGGCTGGAGCGCTACCGTCTCCACCCGAATAGAAGTCTCGGTCATTATAGCCGTATTTGGAGCAACTTCGAGTCTAAGAAGACGTTAGCGCTGGAAGAACACAGACAGAGCAAGAGTAAGAGTGAGACCCAGTACCGGTATCAGCCTCTGTATTACAGAAAAGTCTGGGCTTACGACAGACATTTTGGGGCCCGGCGTTACTGTTCACCCTTTGTTCTACCAGTGCCATTCACATGGAATCGGGAAGTTACATTCTCCTTGTTCTGGCCTCACTCGCTGGGCGCTACAACAGCGACCCCTCCAGAGATTCTCTCCGTCTTCTTCTTCCGAAAGTCACCTCTCAATGATGTCACCATGAAACGAAGTGTGGAGATGGTCCCTGCCTCTTCTGCTTGACGATATTTTTGTCCCTAGTCCCCCCTTCCCTTTCTCCTCTCAACACCCGAGCATAAGTGCCTCTCACCTGTGTGTGTAACCATTGCTTTCGCTGCAGAGACGCAACTCACCGAAAGCCTAGTTGTCGTACTTTCTCGATTTTACATCACTTTGCTACCATCATGAGTTTAAATGGATCTGGTGTTGCACATATAAACGCCAATGCCTTGATGTATATGTATATGAACAACACCGGATCATCTTTGACACCGACATCAAACACTTGGAGCTATTCCCCCTCCATCGTCCGGGTCAGACTTTGTACCGATTTCCGTCGAGTTTGTCCGATTGACACCATTTTGTCACAGGCCCTTGCTGCCCCGTCCTTGTCTAGGAAACATCTGCTAAGTTGGGGTCAACGAATTCATCGAGGGTCTGCTTATCTGCCCCTGTAACTCCATGCGTCGCAGCCCTCCCTCTGCCTTTATCGCCCTTGCCTCGACGCTCGGCGTCATGACGAAGACATGATGAGGTTGCCAGTGGAACTTGGCAATCTGTGGGCACCTGACAGACAAAGAAAAAGCATTAAGTCTGAACTTCGGCAGTCTACCTCGGCAAGTTGTCGGCCCTTATCCCATTGTATGTGACCCTTTCTTTGCAGGGCTTTGGATTGCAATTGGGAATGTCGGGTTGGTTCAAACTAAGGACTTGGACTTCTTTCGACACGGGGTCTGCTGCAGTTCTTCTTTTTTTTTTTTCTGGGAGTGTCGTCTGCGGTTGTGATGTGAATGATTTCATTGCATCCGTAAGCAGTTTGGCGTGTTCTTCTTTTGCCTCTGTCTTCCGTTTGCCTTCGATGGTGGCTGTGACGAGTGACAGTTCTTTTTTCAATTGTTCCACGATCGTCTAAGATTTCTTTCTTGGTTTCCGTTGACATTCGACAATCACAGGCACATTCATTACCTGTCTATCATCATTGCTCTCCAACAAACTCTCCTACATGAGACATTGTAAGGAGCAGAGCTTCAACAGATACAGCCTTTCATTTTCCCTTTTTCTTTTCGTCCTGTGCAGATCTTTCATTTTCTTCTCCCAATCGACCTTTCCTTCCTTTCTTTCTTTTTCTTCTTTCTTTTTTTTTTTTTTAACTAATGTGAGGATTGAGCCCTCAATGGGGCCTTGCCAACATTCACATGATCTGGGCTAAGGACCCCAACAAGCCTCGTGCCCGCCCTAAGTGAAGGCGGGCCAGAATATCCACAAGAGGCCTTCCTTTCTTCATTTCACGAAGTGGGTATCAGGCAGTTGCCGCACGCCAGTTGGTTGGAGTGCATCGTGAGCCCAGACTCCTGCAGAGGCAGTTAAGCCCAGGGCCTCAGTTGGTTGAGCCCTGGGTACCAGTCTGGGAGGCCGACACATCACACATTGGACGCTGGCCTATGGAAAAGCAGCATTGTGTCGTAGAGGCCGAGCGAACCAATGGGAAACTGGAACGGGGTCTGAATCTGGACGATGGCCCCGACATAAGGGGTGCAACTGCACTACCTGGGCCCCATCTGTGTTGGGCCTGGGCCCAGGCGCAGGCTCGAGGGAGGCCGCCCTCACGCAGCAAGGCATATAGGCAGAATGTGCAAGTGGGCAGGGATCGTGGCCAATGCAGGCATTGCGGGCACGCTGCTGCATGGGAGCGCGAGTGCTTGCGCTACGTTCTGGCTGAGAGAAAGCTGGCTGGCGCTAAGTGGTAGGGCGCAGCTGGGGTGCAAGGCGCTGGCAGCCATAGCCGGGTTGCAGGAGGGCGCAGAAGGAGGTGAGGGCGAAGGTGGTCTTCGAAAGGAGGAGACGATGAGTGGGAGTCAGGGAAGAGAAGAGGGGAGCGAGTGAGTACTTACCTGGTGTGCGAGAGGAGGTCGGCATTGGTGTTGACG